GGGGCTGTCTCAGCTGGGCTTCAGAGGTGAGGGAGTGAAACCCCCACCCACATTTTGTCCTTGGTGATGCTGAAGCACGTGGATCAGTGCTGATGGGCAGGGGTGCCAGCAACCTGCTGCCCCTGGCAAGGCGGCTCCTGTGACCCCCTCCTCTGCCAATAATGGCGGGGGAATGGGTCCCTGTGGGGACAGTGCTAAAGGCCAGCTTCACCCTCTGCTCCTGTCTGATTAATTCATGTTGGACTCCTTACTTCAAGCCCAGTTGCCCCAGCCAGGTCTCTGTGCTGTGAGTTAATGCCATAATAATAGCGTGCCTCCCCCTTGCTGGGGTCAGGAGGAACGCTGGCCGCAGGGCCAGCAAGCGCCAGCAGAGGCACGGGCAGGGAGCAGTGGGCTCCAGGGACGGGACTCCACCTTGGCCTCCTTGTGTGTCTCTTCTTTCCTTTTCTTTCTTTTTTCCCCTTCTTTGTTCCTTTTTGTTTTGGGGTGGGCTTGTTCCTTCCCAGTAATGCACTGTATCCATCCCATAATCTGAAGAGACTGAGTAAGGCTACAAAGCAGACAGCCTGCTGGTTCACGCACCGCAAGGCTGCAAGCTCAGCTCAGATCCTGCAGGAAGGGGCCCTGTCATTGTTGGCCAACCGCTCTGGGGTGACCATGGGCCTTGGCAGTTGGCCTGCCAGGTCTGGCCTCGGGCCCTGGCTCTCTCCTCACCTGCCCTCGCCTGTCTTTGTCAGTTTCATTTCTAATTTCTTTTTAAAAAAGATTTATATTTATTTTTATTGTAAAGTCAGATATACAGAGAAGAGGGACAGAGAGGAAGATTTTCTGTCCTGGCCACAACGGCCGGTGCTGAGCTGATTCAAAGCCAGGAGCCATGAGCTTCCTCTGGGTATCCCACATGGGTGTGATAGCCTAGTGGGCTAAAGTCCTCGCCTTGCATGAGACAGGATCCCATATGGATGCTGGTTATAATTCCAGCTGTCCCGCTTCCCATCCAGCTCCCTGCTTGTGGCCTGGGAAAGCAGTCAAGGACAGCCCAAAACCTTGGGTAACTGCACCCACATGGGAGACCCAGAAGAGGCTCCTGGCCCCTGTCCCTGGCTTCGGATTGGCGCAGCACCGGCCGTTGTGGCCACTTGGGGAGTGAATCATCAGATGGAAGATCTTTTTTTTTTTCTTTAAGATTTATTTATTTATTGGAAAGTCAGATATACAGAGAGGAGGAGAGACAGAGAGGAAGATCTTCCGTCCGATGATTCACTCCCCAAGTGAGCGCAACGGCCAATGCTATGCTGATCCAAAGCCAGGATCCAGGAACTTCTTCCAGGTACCCCACACGATGCAGGATCCCAAAGCATTGGGCCGTCCTCGACTGCTTGACTGCTTTCCCAGGACACAAGAAGGGAGCTGGATGGGAAGTGGGGCCGCCAGGATTAGAACCGGTGCCCATATGGGATCCCGGGGTGTTCAAGTTGAGGACTTTAGCCGCTAGGCCATGCCGCCGGGCCCCAGATGGAAGATCTTCCTCTCTGTCTCTCCTCCTCTCTGTATATCTGACTTTCCAATATCTTTTAAAAAAACAAAAGGTTTACAGAAAACTGAGTGAAAAGCCAGTTCTACTGGTGCAAAAAAATTAGACATCCTGACAGGTTTTTTCATAACGTACATTTTCCAGGAACCTTTCAACAATAGAGACTTTAAAAGAATATTTGTTTATATTTTCCTTGAGAACAAGTGGCTGTTTAATGCACTGTTCCACATGATCTCCCATTTGCATGGACTTCAAACATTTTTTTGCAGCAAAATAAGTTTATATATGAACTTTTTGGAAGTACCTCATGTGACTTGACATTGTGACTGGATTTAACTCCTTAGCTAGTTAGGGAACCAACAAGATATTACAATCTGCTCAGAGGAGATGCCACACAGCAGTGGTCAGGAAAGCCACGAGGAATTCCCTCTGAAGATGCAAAATTGGTCAATATTGTTTAGTCACCCAGACACAGTTGCGCTTTTTGGAGAGGGACCATTTGCTGTGTGTGTTACAGTTATTTATAGTACTGTCAGAATCGCACGGCATTCTGTGACAGGCAACGTTGTAAAATGGCTCAAAGAGCGTGAGTCAGCTAGCTTTGACATGAGTACTTGGACCGTTCTCAGCTTTCTACCAAAGAAATCTGGCAATTTTAGGGGTCCGATTTTGGCTGCAGCTGGGAGATGGGATGTCAGCCCAGGTCTCCTGTGAGAGTGGCAGGACCCAAATTCAACCATCACCTATTGTCTCCCAGAGTGTCACTGGCAAGAAGCTGGAGTTGGGAGCTTGAGCTGGCAGGATCAAACGCAGAATCCCTGACTAGGCTGGCTAAATGCCTGTCCTCAAATCTACCTTCTGATTATATTCTTGTACGTGCTTTTTCAAGCACCCTCAGACTTTTCCATGTGGGAGTCTTTTTCCCTGGTTTGTGGGAGAGGCATGGGGGTTGGGGTGGGGTGGAGAAAGTGTTCCCACGTACTACTGGCTTATTCCACAGCCAGGGCTGGGCCAGGCCGACGTCTGGATCTGCCACGTGACTGGCAGTGCCATGAGCACCTGAAGAGAACCTGGGGCTCCAGCCCAAGCACCCCAACATGGGATGTGATTCCAACTGCAGCCTCAACCAGCAGTCAGCCCTGTGTGTCTTTCCTTCAGCAAACTTTAAAAAGAAATTAATCTTATTAATTGAGAGGCAGAAAGATAGAGAAATCTTCCAACCAACTGGCTCATTTTTCCAAATGCCTGTCACCGCCAGAACTGAACCAAGAGGAAGCCAGAAGCCAGGAGCTTAACCCAGGCCTTCACGTGGTGGGCAAGGACCCAACTCCTGGAGTCATCTATTACCGGTTGCGAGCAGGACTGGGAGTGGGGAGCGGAGCTGGCACTGAAGCCCAGGTTCTCCAGGCGGCCTGATAAGGGAAGCGGGCTTTGCAAGTGGTGTCTTAGCCTGTGGGAGGTAGAGGCCACGCATCCATGTTGCTGCTGCATCTGCTGTCAGGTTGCTTTTATTGAAGCGCAGTGCTCCGTTGGAGAATCAAGCACACTGTGCCCACAGCTGACAGCATCCGGTGGCTTCCAGCTAGGAAAAGGGTGTGTCGGAAAGGCCCTCGTGCGTGTCTTTGGGGGCCCCTGTGCTGGCATTTTTGTGGGAGAGGACCTGCACGGTCACAGGTGGGAGTGTGATCAGTGTCCGTGGAGTCCACCGATTGCAGAAGTGCTTGAGCTGGGAGCGGGCAGGTGTCTGTCGTGGCTTCCTGCCGTGGGCAGTCCTGTTTTCCAACTTTAGCTCCAGGATTTCTTCTCAACTCTCCCCAAGACACCTGCCCTAAGAATTTAGACTTTGCTGCATTAAAAAAAATATATATATATTTATTTATTTGAAAGACAGAGTTACAGAGAGAAAAGGAGAAGGATCTTGAATCTGCTAGTTTACTCTCAAATAGCCGCAGAAGCCAGGGTTGAGCTTGTCTGAAGCCTCCTCCTCCAGGTTTCCCACAAGGTTGCAGAGGCCCAGGTCCTGAGCCACCCTCTACTGCTTCAGTGCCCATATGAGATGCTGGCACTACAGGCACAGACTTTACCTGCCATAACACAATGCCAGGTCCTGGGCTGCAGGGCCGCAGCCTCAGCAGCTAGACGCATTTTTTTAAAACAGGGTCCTGTCCCTTCGCTGCTTGGAGCTCTCCAGGCCACCCGAAGGCCTTGTGGTTCTGGCCCCCACCTTACGTCCACTGCTTTCCTGGCTCCACTGACTTGCTGGCTCCTCAAACATCCCTCAGTCTGTACCCGCTGTGCTCAGGTTTCATCTCTCAGGCATGTTTTACTCCATGGGAAGAAACCTGGAATAAAGAAAACCCAAGGCAAGCCAAAGCTCACAGGGCACCTCTGGCATGTACGGTCCTGAGGAGCCCATGTGGACTTCCAGACACCATCTTCCGGCCGAATGGTTCCTGCCTGGACACAGGCAGGCAGACTGCCCAGGAGAGGGCGTGGCTTCCCTCCCGGTGCCAGGAGGCTGATTTGAGTTTGCCTGCCAGCTCACCTGCTGTTACTGAAGCATTGATGTGTCTGCTCTCTTCACTCCTTTGAGCCGGCCACACCATCTACCCGGCTCCCTCATGAATAAGGAGTAAGACTTGTCGCACAGCCTCATTCATTTTAGCTGTGGTACAGTCATGCTGGGACCCTTTTTCGCAAAGATTGATTTTTTATTGGAAAAGCAGATCTACAGCGAGAAGGAGAGACAGAAAGAAAGCTCCCCCATCTGCTGGTTCACTCCCCAGGTGGCCACAAGAGTCAGCTGAGTCTATCTGAAGTCAGGAGCCAAGAGCTTCCTTTGGGTCTCCCACACAGATGCAGGGTCCCAAGGCTTTGGGCTGCCCACCACTGCTTTCTTAGGCTACAAACAGGGAGCTGGATGGGAAGTGGAGCAGTTGGGACACAAACTGGTGTCCATAAAGGATGCTGGTGCATGCAAGGCAAGGATTTAGCCACTGATCCGTTGTGCTGTGTTGTTTCTCTAAAAAGGCTTATTTATTTGAAGCAGGTGGGAGTGGGGCAGAGGGAGAGAGAGATCTTTCAACACCGATTCACTTTCCAAATGACGGCAACAGCTGGGGCCGATCCAGGCTGATTCAAAGCTCCATCTGAGTCTCACACATGATTAGTTGGGCTCTAAGCACCAGGGTCCTTCCCACTGCCTTCCCAGGCACTTCAGTAGGGAGCTGGATCAGAAGCAGGATCACCAGGAATAGAACTGATGCTCTGACGTGGGACGCTGGCTTTGCAGGCAGCAGCTTCACCCACTGCATGGCAACACTGGGCCGAGTTCTGCTTCGGTATTTACAGAGCCGACGTTCTCTGTTTATTTTTTCACTTGCTGATGAGTAAGTGAAGGGATGCAGGTAGATTGGGCTCCCACCGTCTTGTGCATCCCCTCTACATTCTCTTTTCTGTTCTGCAGGGCCATCTGCTTTGCCAGTGTTCAGCCTACCGTGTTCGCATGGAGCCTCCCCTCCCGGCCAGACAGGGACAGGGCAAGCCTGGCCCTTGAAGATTCAACAGGTACGTCTGTGTTGCTTCTCCAAGGCTTTGGGTCAGGTTGGGGCCATTCCAGCAGGGAGTGGCAATCAGTGTGTGTGTACAACTTACAAGCGAGAGGGCTTCAACACCCGCACACAGAGTGGCTGTCCTGTGCCCTCTGCCAGTGCCAACACTGGAGGCAAGTGCTGGAGTCACCAGACTGCCTGGTGCCAGGTTCAAGCATGTGTACCAGGCTGGTTTGGGGGTTTGGGGTTCCATGAGAACTGAGACGGCCAGAAGAGAGAGAGAGGGGCTTTATTTATTTATTTATTTATTTTTGGTAAGATTTATCATATTTTTATTGGGAAATCAGATATACAGAAACGAGAAAAGACAGAGAGGAAGATCTTTCATCAGTTGATTCACTCCCCAAGCAGCTGCAACAGCCGGAGCTAAGCCTACCCAAAGCCAGGAACCCGGCGCCTCTTTTGGGTCTCCCACGCGGGTACAGGGTCCCAAGGCCTTGGGCCGTCCTTTCCGAGGCCACAGTTAGGGAGCTGGATGGGAAGAGGGGCCACCAGGATTAGAACCGGCGCCCATATGGGATCCTGGTGCGTGCAAGGTGAAGAATTTAGCCACTAAGCTACCATGCTGGGCCCGAGAGGGGCTTGTTTAACGTCCCACAGCAGCGGGTGGTAGGGATGGGGCTCCAACCTTGGGCAGGTGAAGGCCATGTGAGAGGGAGGCAGGAAGAAAGGAAATGAGAAGGGAGTCATTCCTCTGATGCCTGTATCCACCAGAGCTGGGCCATCTGAGGCCAGGAGCCTGGAACTCCATCCAGGTCTCCCTCGTGGGTGGGAGGGGCCCAGCGCTGAACCGTCCTCTGCTGTTTTCTCAGCTGCATTAGCAGGAAGCTGGATGGGGGGCAGAGCAGCTGAGACTTGAACTCAGGACTCCAGTATGGAATGTGGGTGCCCCAGGCAGTATCTTCTTTTTAATATTGTTTACATAGTTGAGAGGAATGCACACCATGTGGGGAGGGTGGGGAGGGTCGAGGTAAGTAGTAGGAGGAGGATGGTGGGTGGGACACATATTTACATTTTTTTCCCTTTTCTTTTGTATCTGTGTGGGGAGGAGAGAGGGTCACTCCTTGTCAAGCTATCTTAACGTCCTGGAATGGGGGACAATCACTTGATGGCACCTTAGAGACCCCCATGTGGGGAAGAGCGTTCCGAGGTGTTACTTGAGTGGCTTAGATAGTTCTGAGAAGTTGTTGGTGTCACTGCTCTGGAGTTGAGCAAACCTCTCCAAGGTCTATTGGCCGACCAAGTCCACCTTAGTGCATCCCCAGAGCCTGATATTTGCCGCAGAGCTTGGCCAGGAGAGTGGTCCAACCTGCTGTGCTTTCCATCCTCTGAAATGAGCTGGCCATCACGAACCCCATGTGCATCTGGACATGCTGTCAACCACTCAGGCATCGGAAACCGAGGAGGCTCCGTTCTGATACATGCTCTGCAGGGTTGGACCACACATCCTGTGATTTTCCCTGTGGTTGGGGTTTGAATTCAACAATCTAGTGGGGGAGTTCTCCAAGAAACCTCAGCTGGGGTGACCTCAGACTTGTGTGTGCCAGCCGATGCAGGGTTTGTCGCCTGCACCAGCCAGTGCACATGTCTGCAGAAGCAGCTTCCCATGAAGTGGCTGCTTACCCACGATTCTGCAGTGTCTGCACCAGGACTGTTTCCCACGTACTTGGGGTGTCTTCCAGATGTGTTCATTGGAAGCTGGATCAGAAGCGGAGCGGGCTGGGACTTGAACTGGCTCTGCTACGGATACAGCGCTACAGGCAGTGGCTTCATCCACTGTGCCACAATGTCAGCCCTGATGATGCTCACTTACATTGTTTGGATTTTTATTTTGTATTTACTTGAAAGATACAGTTACACAAGGAGAGAGGGTGAGAGGAGAAACAGAGAGATCTTTCATCTGCTGGCTCACTCCCCAAAAGGCTACAATGGACATGGCTGGGCCAGACTGAAGCCAGGAGCCTGGAGCTTCATCTGGGGCTCTCACATGTGTGCAGAGGCCTGAGGACTTGGGCCATTTTCCACTGCTTCCTTAGGCAGTAAGCAGGGAACTGGATCAGAGGTGGAGCAGCCAGGACTCAAACCAACACCGCAGGAGGGGGCTCTACCCACAATGCCACAATGCCCTTGGAGCCTCACTTTTGACTCTGACTTCAAATCTGGAGGTCCCCAAGACCATTTCAAATTGAAATACCCCAGAATCCTTGGACAACGCAAGGCCAAGCTTCTGGGTATCATCTCCCTGGGGAAGTGGGTTTTCCCACTACCTTCTCCTGGCTACCAGGTGCGACCACACGTGGGGCAGGCTACCAACCAGGGCAGAGGCTTCAGTAGCTGTCACTTGGGTGCTGCCCATGGTCTCCACTTGATTGACCTGTGCTGGGTCCCCTGCGGGAGTCAGGTTGAACCTTGAGCATCCATCTCCGGTGTGGGCTGCCCACATGGGTCCCTCCTGGCAGCTTCAGCCCAAGCCGACAGGAGAAATGATCCCGAGACAGGAAGCTGCCATCATCCTGCTCCTTCATGTGTCAGATGGCTCACCCTCGGGAATGGCTTTAATTCCAGCTCTCTTTGCTCTTCACTGTTACGGAGAAATAAGTTCATACTGCAAGGTTGCACTTCTGGTGACTCAGTTACCTGACTGGTGTGAAAACTTCAAGAAAAATGCTGGTGTGCTTGGATGGCAAATACACACACACACACACACACAAACCTAACACCACCACAACTCACGCCTTTTCCTGGAGTGTGTGGCGAGGGGCGGGGCAGCAGACCCTCCCACTGTCACTGACTGGCAAGTCCTGACCCAGGAGCAGGTGGGCTCTGGGCACTGAGGGTGAGGTTCCTGTCCTCCTTGAACCTGTGGTTTACATGGGGCAGAGGCAAACTCCCAAATCCTGCGAGCACTTAGACACCCCGATTCCCCACGGTGGCAGAGGCTGGAGCCTGGAAGGTGGGAGCCATCTGTCTCCTCTCTCTCCCTCCCTCCCCTTGTCCTTCCAGAAGCATCATCCTGGTCAACAGACGAGGTCGAGTGCTTCTCTGATTACATGACCCTGTGGATCCCCAGACTCCGCCTGGTGGGGCTGAAGTGGTGGCTGGGCCAAGTGCTGCATGTGCCAGGTAAGGGACACCGTGGGCTGTGGGAGGGGCCCCTACCATGTGCCAGGTAAGGGTCACATGGGCTGAGGGAGGGGCCCCACAAACTCACCGTGGGCCTCTGTGGCCCAGCTTCCCGCCTGGGGTTTTCTCTCCCACTTGGCGTTGTTCCATCCTGTCACTCAAAGCTGTGCTCCCTGGGGCCTGCCTGATTGTCTCTGAAGTCCTCCATCTCTCGCCTCGGCCCCAGCCCCAGTCACAGTCCCAGCCATCATGGCTACAGCTCACAAATGAGGCTCTGCGCAGGCGCGGCCCGCATGCCCTTTGTCTGGAGCCAGGTCCTCGAGCTATCCTGCTGTCAGGAGGCTCTCGGCGACCATGGCAGGAGTGCCCACTGGAGCTACATCGCCCTGCAAAAGGAGGGGACTGGAGGCCTCCAGGTCCCTGGGTAGCCACTGCCCACCTGTGTGAATTCCTGCACATTGTGGGTATTTTAAACAATATTTACTATTTCATTTATTTGAAAGATGGAGAGAGGGAAGGAAAGAGAGAGAGAGAGAGAGAGAGAGAGAGAGCAAGCTCCCCCTTCTGCTGGTTTACTTCCCCAATGTCCAAAGCAATAGGAGCTGGACAAGGCCCAAGCTAGCAGCGGCCAGGAACTCAGGCTGGGTCCCCCACAGCCTGCTATCAGGGACCCCGGTACCTGAGTCATCGCCTCCTGTCCCCCAACGTGCACTCTGGTAGGAAGCTGGAATAGAAAGCAGTCGGGAATTGAGCCCAGCCTCTCCAGTATGGGACCTGGGCAGCTCTGGGCAGTGTCCTGTGCGCTGCAGCCCACCACAGCACCCTCCGAGGGCCCGTGCAGCCTCAACATGCCCAGGGAGGCTCGGCCGCCCAGCGCCCACTGGTTCGGGACATCTCTGGAGGCAGCATTTGTGTGTGAAAAGGCCACTTTTCCAGCAGAAATGCTGTGGCCACATTAAGCTGTCGCCTGCTCTTCGGAGAGCCATTATTAATGGAAAACAATAGATTAATAGTTTTAAAACGCTTGTTCAATAAGTAATTTTTATGGCTCTGGATAGAGGCCATTAAACATTTTCTGTGTGTTATTATAAAGAAGTTTTAAGCGTAAAATCATAAAGTCAATAATCAGAGAATTAGTCACAGCGGCCAGCCACAGCCCATTAGTTCCCGGCGCTGTCAGACACCTGTGGCTTTTGAGGGAATGTTTTCATTTCGTGCTGTAGCGCCAGGTGGGGCTGGAGAAATGACGGTGCCTGCTGCCTTCCATAAACTTGAGGGGACAGCGAGCAGGTGTGAGCAGCGGGATGCCAGGCAAATATTTACAAAGTGCAAACGTGAGTGCAAAACCTAAGCGACCCGGGTCAATTTGCACATCTCGCTCCAGACACCTTATTTCCCCAGCGATCTGCCTCTGCCCGAGGCACGGCCTTGATCTCTTGCTAAAGATAGCTGGGAAAGCTGTGAGCTGTTGAGAGGGGAGCCTGTCGCCAGAGAATCCACCACGCCGGCCGGGTTGGAAACTGCCTGCTCATCTCCCATCAAGCACACACTTTGAAAATGAAGCTGGGAGCTTTTAAAAATGATTTAAAAAAACTTTGAAAATGAAGCTGGGAGCTTTTAAAAATGATTTAAAAAAACAAACCTCGACGGGTGATGCAAGATAATCATGGAAAGTAAAAGAAACTGAAGGCAGGTAGTATAAGGTGCCCAGTGCGTCCTCACTCGGTGATGCATTTCTGTTGATGCCTGACCCACCCTTTCTACCAAGACCGGCTGGGCATCCCCCCCCTGTGAGACCAGCTCCAGGCACTGCACAGGCAACCATGTCCCAGACCGCCCATTTCCCAGGGCCCTGTGGAGCTGACACGAGTGCAAGGTGGCAAGCAAACATTATCAGAAATAAGCAAGTGGTCTGATGGCAGGTTGGAAGGAAATGAGCACTGTACCAGGAGAACTGGCCAAGAAAGCAGGGGCAGGGTGGGCCCTGATGGGGGCAGTGAGCCGGACAGGCGTGTAGGAGAGAGATCCAGACCCAGGGCACATCCCGTTCATCCTGAGCGTGCCTGGGAGATGGGTGAAACAGGACAGCCAGGGGAGGGGCTGTGAAGGGCTTGGGAGGCGCCCCAGCAGAGGAGGGACCTGCATCTGACTTGGCTCTCCGCAGGACCCCACTGGCGGTGTGGGTGGCAGATAGCAGCCCGAGGGAGGCATCCAGAACTGACACAGGAGGGAGCTGCAGGAACCCGGACCAGAGCGGGGAGACCAGACCAGGCTGGTTTAATGGGATTTGCCACCACTCCTGCTACTCGGTGGCTTAACCTCCCAGTCTCTGACTTGTGGCCCAGAAAACAGCCAATGGAAAATTCTAGAAAACAGTTCATAGTTTTTTTTTTTTCCCTAAGTTTTTTTTTTTTTCAAGTGGAAAATCAGATTTACAGAGAGAAGGATAGAGAGAAAGATCTTCCATCTGCTGATTCACTCCCCAAATGGCTGCAGTGGCTAGTGTTGAGCTGGTGTAAAGCCAGGAGCTGGGAGCCTCTTCCAGGTCTCCCATGGGAGTGCAGGGTCCCAAGGCCTTGGGCTGTTCTCCACTGCTTTTCCAGGCCACAAGCAGAGAGCTAGAAGGGAAGTGGGGCAGCCGGTATATGAACTGGCACCTGTATGGGAATCTCAGTGCATGTAAGGCGAGGATTTTAGCCACTAGGCTACCGTGCTGGGCCCTAGTTATTAGATTTTAAGTAGTTTTCATCACAGCACACTGTAATCCTTGTTCCAGTTTGTATTAGTTAGCAGGTGCATCTTGGAGTGGACCCCCGAGGCTGAGGAGCCTGCTGTGGCTGGCAGGTACATCCACTGGGCCTTTCTGTGGGTGTGATCCCTCCCAGATCTTCCCCTGTCCTTTTCTCTCTCGGGCACCCCCAGCTGAGGAGCATCCTGGCTGGGCCGCGTTCCTGTTGGTGTCCAGCAAGTGCTTGCAGTTTCTGACGTACCCAGCAGTGTCTCCTGCAGGCTTGAGCCATGATGCTGCCACTTTCTCATTGCAGGGACCTGGAGGGAGCCCAGCCACCTGGATTCTTCACTTGCCAAATGTGGCTACTCCCTGCATCCCACTCCCGATGGGGACTTCATTTTTCGGGTCCAATACTCGGCCTGCTTTGTGCAGAAGGAGGTAGGCATGTAAAAAAAATATATATATATATTTTTTTCTCATTTAAAAGATACAGACTACAGTTATTCGTTGATCCGCTCCACAAATGCCCGAAACAGCAATCTCAGCTGGGCCAGGCCAAAGCCAGGAGCCAGCAAGTCAGTCTGGGTCTCCCCCGTGGGCAGCGGGGCCCCCATCTGCTGCCGCTCATCCAAGGTGGACGTCAGAGGAAATTGGAATGGGAAGCAGAGCTGGGTCTTGAACTGAAGCAACCCACCTCGTGAATTTACTGCCAGGGCGTGTGCCACGTGGATCATTTCTTTTTAAGGTTGATTTATTTGTATTAGAAAGGCAGATCCACAGAGAGAAGGAGAGACAGAAAGATCTTCCATTCACTCAAGCGGCCACAATGGCCAGAGCTGAGCTGATCTGAAGTCAGGAGCCGACAGCTTCCTTCAGGTCTCCCATGGGGTACAGGTTCCCAAGGCTTTGAGCCATCTTCCACTGCTTTTCCAGGCCATGAGCAGGGAGTTGGATTGGAAGTAGAGCAGCTGGGACACAAACCCGTACTCATACAGGATGCCCGTGTTTGCCAGTGGGGGATTAGCCAAGTGCATCATCACACTGGGCCCCTCCGTGGCCTATTTCTCATGGAGAACCTCCCCACCACCTGCAAATCCAGGAGCTCCAAAATTGGTCACATGCCTTTACCTCGGACTCTCATTCTCAGCTGCCTTGGCTGTAAAATGGATGCAAGAAAGGCAGTGTTGAGACTCTGTGAGGGTTGAAGGGCACACAGGCTCTGAGTTCATGTCTGCCAGCTGTCAAAGCGGAGCTCAATGACAGCAGGGTCCGGAGGACTGCCCCGTGGGGGCTGGGGGGCCAGAGCCCGGGCTTAGGGCCGGACCTGGGTACTGGCTCCCTGCTGCTCTTGGCCTGGCCTGCCACCCCTTCACTCTGACACGTGCCAGCTTGCGGGCAGTTGGCGTTAATCAGATTCGCTGCCAGTCGCGCTGACCTGTAATTGCGGCCTATTAACTATGTTTTCCTCATTCATCCGGACGCACGCCTCTCACCCCGCCTCCAGACGGCAAATTACAGGTTGGAAATCAGGATATTTCAGAAAGGGGTGAAGAGGTTGGAGCACAGCGGTCGCTACGTGATGCAGTGTCCTCGCATCCGGCAGAGGCTCGGCTGGCAGAGCATTCGCTGCAGCCCCATGTTCATGCAGGTACTGGGCTCCCAGGGTCTGGGAGGCGGCTGCGGGGGTGGGGGCACGGCTCTGGGCTTCCCTGGCAAGGTCTGGGCAGGCAGCCGAGGTTCCCGGCCTCTGTGCGTGGCCGGTGGAGAAGCAGCAGCTGGAAGGTGTCATGGCACCCTTCCCTGCCAGGCTTTGTGTGAGGATGGGTTAGGGGTCTCTGAAGTGCTGGCTTCATTCCCTGTGTGGGGGCCACCTGTCTTGTTATCATGAATTGCTCAAGTCTTCATTTATTCAGCTAAAAAGGAAAGCAGTTCACCGAGTCTCTGGAGAAACAGAATTGAGAGATATTTGTTTTTCTCTGTCTCCCTACTTCTTTTGTAGATAAACATTTGCTGTAGATAAACATTTGAATAGACAATTAAGAGGAGCAGGCGTGCACTGCACCCCTCCCCACTGAGGGGGTCTGGGATCGAATCCTGCCTGTGGCTCCTGAGTCCGGCTTCCTGCTAGGGCAAGCCCTGGGGGGGCAGCGGCGGCGGTGCCTGTTGGCAGTCTGGAAGACCGACACCCCCAGCCTGACCCTGGCTGTTGCAGGCATTTGTGCACTGAAGCAATAAATGGGGGCTCTCTTTCAAATAATAATAATAAAGATGCTTATTGTGATGCAAAGACAACTTTTATGAGTTCTTACAAAGGATATATCTGTTTTTATTGGAAAGGTAGATTTACAGAGAGGAAAGACAGAGGAAAGATTTTTCTGGTTCATTCTCCAAATGATCTTAATATCGGGAGCTGATCTAATCTGAAGCCAAGAGCTTCCTCTGGGTCTCTTCTGCAGGTGCAAGGCCCAAGCACTGAGCTGTCCTCCACTGCTTTCCCAGGCCACAAGCAGGGAGCTGGATGGGAAGCAGAGCAGCTGGGACACGAACTGGCGCCCACATGGGACACTGGCTTGCCAACTTCATGCAGACCCCCCAAAATTTTGTGGGCCTAGCTTGATGGTTCAATTTGCTAATCCTCACTTCTGAGCACTGCTGGGATCCCATATGGGCACCAGTTTGTGTCCTGGCTGCTCCACTTCCCATCTCAGACCCTGCTTGTGACCTGAGAAAGCAGAGGAGGATGGCCCAAAGCCTTGGGACCCTGCTCCTGCATGGGAAAACCAGATGAGGCTCCTGGTTCCTGGCTTCGGATCAGCTCAGCTCTGGCCATTGTGGCCATTTGAGGAGCAAACAAATGGATGGATGATCTTTCTTTCTGTCTCTTCTTCTCTCTGTGGATCTGCTTTTCCAATAAAAAAAAAAACTGGAATGATTTTACACAATATACATCTTCCAAGAGCTTTGTGGAAATGCCTCATGTGTCTAGCCTGCTCTGTAGCAGGCTTTGTTCTAATTCACTTCACCTCCACAGTGGTCATGTGCAGCAGGGGCCCTCACTGTCCACATCCCAAGGATGGGAGAACTAGACAGAGATTGGGAGGTGGTCCGTGGTGCCACAGCTGGTGAGGGCAGAGCCGAGTTTACACCAGCTGGTGGCTGGGGCCACGTGAGCCTCACCCTGGCTCCTGAGGACGGACGGCCACCACTCAGCCTCCTGCCTGACTGCCTGGACTTCTACCTTTTGAGGAATAGCTGGGAATGTGTAATTGGATGTGAAACAGAGAAAAAAGTCGGGCTTTACTTTTATAAACATGTATGGCCTGAGAAAATGCTGCGTTTGCCTAGCAGGATGAGAAGGGAGGAGGAGGAGGGGAGAAGTGAGGGGAGGAACGTGGTGATGGCCAGAATTCATTCTGCAGGTGCATCTGCCACGAGGGGTTTCGGGAAAGCCCATGAGTTTGCAATGTAGCTCCAGATAACTTCCAGGAAAAAAAAAAAAGCTTGTGAAGTTTCTGATTTTCTGCTGCAACTTTATCTTTCAGTTTGTTTCCCCATGAAGTTTCTAAAGCCTTGTGGCAGGCGCTAAAAGCCACAAATCTGAGTCAGACAGAGACCCTGGTCCCAGGAGCTTGTCATGCTGTCCTCATGTGGCCTGGGTTTTTAATCCCTTGTAGCCAGCATTTGGTTTCGTGTTTCTATTCTGTTGCTTTTAAAGAGTGTGTGTGAGAGACACACACACACAGAAACCTTCTGTCTGTTGGTTCACTTTTCAGATGAGCCACGGCAGCCAGGGCTGAGCGAAGGAGCTCAGAAGTACTTCCAGGTCTCCCTTATGAGCGCAGGGGCCCAAGCACCTCAGCCATCTTCTGCTGCTTTCCCAAGCACATTCGCAGAGAGCTGGGCTGGAAACAGAGCAGTCAGAACTTGAACTGGTGCTCCCAGGAGATGCTGGTGCTGCAAACAGCAGCTTAAGGCACTGCACTGGAATGCTGGTACCCGGCCTGGGTTTTGGAGCGAAATCTGTGGTTGGGATCCAGGCTCTGCAGCTCTGCCTCCCTGCCTCTCTACCTTCTGCGATTCGGCCTTCAGGAACAGAGGCTGAGGGGCCTGGTCTTTCTCTGTCCACTTGCCCGTGGGCCCTCCAGGACCTGCCATTTCTCCTTTGCACTGGGCCTGTAATTCTGGGAGCAGCCGCCAGGGGGACAAATCTTGCTGGTGTCATGAGACACTGGATGCAATTGCTGAGAGAGGCAGGACCCTGGAGCTCTCTCTGTCTCTTTCTGTAGATGAAAGAGGGATTGTGCCGGACTGTGTGGGGGACGGAGTCACGAGGGCGCAGCACATAAGCAACAGAAAGTGGGCCGTGATTGCCCCAGCCCCCTAGCCCCTGCCGCCCTCTTCCCGCCCCCCCCCATCTGAGAACCTCATCGAATTGACTGATTCATTCCTGGTGACTTCTGCAGCCGCCGCTTCCGTGGCTGCACCTTGAACTTGGATTAAGTTTTAATTAAAGCAGTTTCACTGGCCTTGCCCTTGGCTAAATGCAGCTGTGGGCACAGGGCACATAGATATTTAATACTCTGCCTACCCCCCGCTGATGGCGCAAGGTGCCCAAGGGGGTACCCGAGCTGTACCCTGCTCCAGCGATCCGCCAGCTCGCTTAAGTGTGCCCACAGGCCCCGAGCGGGAGGCCGAGCAATAACTATTCATTGCCCTGGGTTAAGTGTGCCCAGGGGCACCCGTAAACTCAACTCAGTGATTAGCGATGGCTCCCAGTGAAGACTGCCCCAGGTCCTGGGCCATGTCCGCAGGCCCTAAATATAGCCTACTGCAGGCAACTTCAAGGGTAACATGTGCTCCGGCTGCAAATTGGTCACCTCGCCCCTTCCTTCTCGCTGGGGGGACAGTCACCCACCTTTCTAAAGCCCATCTTCCTAGTGCCCCATTGCCTTCGTCCAGGGGCATTGGGGATAGTGGGCAGTTCTGGCCGTGGTAGGGGTATGCTGAGTTATATATGGCCTCTTGCCGGCTGCAGGCATCTTCCTGAATCTTCCTCAAGTCTTCCCGTTTTTCCCAGAGTCAAGGTCATGGCCGGGCCCACAGAAAGAGCTCGCTGTGGGCTGTCCCGATCCTGCTGCTGTCTGGGGCCTGGAACAGGCAGTAGAGCTGGGACAGCTGAGAGGCCCGGGAGGTGTGGGGGACCCACTGCTGCTCTTTCCTGCTGGAGGAAGGGAGGGGACAGGTGGCCCTGGCAGGGGAGTTGTCAGTCCCTTCTGGCCTCAATTATGGAGGGTGGGGCTCAGATGACCTTGGAGGGCCCCATGGGTCTGTGACTGCCTAAGTGTCCAGTACAGGCCAAGGCATTGTGGTAACTAACAGCAGGTGGAGAGCGGGGTTCCGGGAACCCTCTGGCCTCTCCACTGTGGGGTCAGTTCCCTTAGTTGGGGCGCTATGGGCTGCCCTGTTTGCTAGGAGACTGGCCTGTCCTGTTTGGGTCCTGAAAAGCCCGCAGTAGAGAGACCTCCCACACCTGACAGGCACTACCCTGGCACCCGCATGGAAGCTCTCTCCCTCTGCCCTCACCTGTTGGACCCAGGAAAGGAAGGGAAGCAGGGTGAGAAAGAGAAGAGAGAAAGAGATAAGCAGCTGGGAGGCCTGGGAAACCACGCCGATGTTGAGCAGGTTTAGAACAGTGTTTGCGCCGCACGCACCCCCACCCTTGGCCTTGCCAGCTGTGCCCGGGACCCCAGCTGCCCCCTTGGCCAGGCCCGGGGCGGCAGCTGAGGCTGCGACATTTCCCTGGCTCTGTTGACACTCAAGTCCCAGAACATAAATGATTTTCTCGTCTTAATGAGCAAACAAGCCAGCAGCCGGGCTCTCTCGCCGGCCTCCTGCTGGCGTGATTACCAGCAGCTCACCTTGTCTCACCATGGCCAGGAAATGACGCCTTGTGTTTGTCCTACAGGTCTCCCGGCCTCTGCCCTTCGGGAGCGATGGTGGACGGGTAGGTAGCACTGGGATCACTTTCTGGAAGGTTCTGCCAGGCATGGGGCCACAGGGGGTAGTCCCAGGCAGGTGTGTGTGGATGGCACCAGCTTTCGGAAATTTGGACATCCTGGCAGGAGGCCAAGGTCATCCGGCAGACATCCTGGGACGCCGCCAAGGTTTGTTCCTATACCGAGTTTCTCTCTGTTGAGGCCTGGGGACCGGGAGCTGAGCCCTATACAGGCTCTCTGGGCCCACGTCGCATGGCTGTTTCCCTGGATTTGCTTTCTGCTGGTTCGGTGTGCTTTCCGTAACCTTCTAGAAGGAGCCACCCCTTTCCTCCATTTCATATCCCCTTGAGGCTGGAATCTGTGTGTGACCTTGAGCTTGCCCAAGGCCCAAGTTCTTCCTGCCAGTCCTCCTAGGCTGGAGCCTGGGGACCCCCCTGCCGTGCCCTGCTCCCAACATCAGGCACCCCCTTTTCACAAGGCCCTGGATGTAAAGTCCACTTGAATGTGACAACAGGATCCTAAGACAGGACCTCTGGACTGAGTGGTTGACATTTCTGCTGGGTCACAGCGCCTTTGCTTCTTCTTGCTTTGTAACTAGTTATTTCTTGGAATGCCAAATGGCTGCCACTCTCAGGGTTGAGCCAGGCTGGTGGCAGGAGCCAGGAACTCTATCAGGGTCTCCTACAGGGCACATAAGCAGGGAGCTGGACAGGACTCCAATGGCTCTGCAAGAAAGGATGTCTGCATTGCAAGCAGTGGCTTAACATGCTGCTCCACAGCGCCAGCCCCAACTCCATTTCTTTAACCGCACTGTATATGCCAGGCACCTGGCAAAGGACCTGCCCCGCACGGTGCAAGGACACCCAGGTCTACTCTGTCTCCCGCTATCGTAGCCTGGCACACTGTGCCTACCCCAGCCTATCCTCCCAGGGTCCTGTCACTGTCCTGATGTCCCCTCCAGTGTCCCCTGTGTCTCCTTGGCTGACCAACTGGTGCCTGTATCTTGCTTCTTCAGATGCCCTGGCTGTTGTCCCTTCGAGGGGAGCTGGTGACCTCCCTGGAGGACGCTGCCCTGATGGGATTGTCCGTGGACATCAATGCCACCACGGTTACCGTGCAAAGCCTGCGACAAGACCTTCTTCAGAGGCGAGAGGTCAGCAGTGGGCAGCGAGCCCCTCCAGGCTGGGGTTTCCTCCAGGCACTGCGTGCGCAGGAGTAGTTTACCTTAGCACCCCGCAAGCGCCAACTCCCGTGTCCACCTGTGAGACTGGCCAGATTTAGGCAGGCGGCTTTGAAAATTGGACCCCATTAGTGTAAAATGCTCTGCTCGGCAGACGAGGGGCCCTGCAATCATGCACTCAGCACGTCCTGATGGTGGTGGCAGGAACGTAATTACCGTCTCTTTAAATAGCCCCAAGTTGCCGGGTAAGAGAAGACGCCTCACATGACATTTGCTCCGAGCTGGCTTCCTTCTAAAAATATCCCTGCTAAATAATATTTCCTGGTTGCGTTGAGGCGATGGTCCCCAGCCAGGGCTTGGGGCTGAGTCCAGAGACAAGTTTGGGGGGGTGGGCGGGGAGGGCTGCAGAGGGGTGCAACCAGAAGGCCACAGTGGGGGGCGGGGGACCCTTCTCGCTCACCAGGTGCTGAACACTTCAGTAGAGCTGCTGCCCCTCTGGCTGCTGGGCGGCCCCTACGCCTACTCGCTGGAAGCTGCCTGCCCACTGGGTAAGACCCAGGGGTGCCTTGATGCCTCGGAGCCCTCTGCACCTCATTTTCCTCACCCCGCTTCCCCAACCTCATCTCAGCTTGGAAAAGCTTGGGAGGAAGGGAGCGTGCTCTTGCTGTGAGAGTATGGGCCTGCAAAGCTGGGACTGAGTAACTCGTAGGGGGTCCTGAGATGGGCCCCAAAGACAGGAGACCCCTCATCCCCTACCGACAGTCCGTCATGGCCCTGCTGACCTGTGTGAAACTGCCCAGGCTCGGCCCCCGGGGACATGGTTGCCACGTGCGTTAGGTAACACCAAGAAGTCCCAGAATTGGACAACTACTTCCTCCCTGCAGGAAATTTAAGTTCTAAAGAACTTGGTATGCAAAATAAGGTGGATTAAAGGCTACATCCTGTGTGGGGAGAGCAGGGTGACTGAGAAGACGTGTGTGTGTGTGTGTGTGTGTGTGTGCGCGTGTGTGCGTGTTTCATCACAGTCTGAGCTTCAGGAGGAGGGCCCATGGGGAGTTTCTGGCCTCACTTTGGGGCCAGACCTTGCCAAGCCTGAAAAACTCTTGCTGTCTGTTCTCATGTTTGCAATCCCTTTATTGGGAGACGAACGGTTTCATTTAGCGACTGGAGAGCTGGCTTAACACACCTCCGGAGAGCTGACACCATGAAATTCTTGCTAAAGTGTAAGCAACTGCTGGGAGCCGCAGCTCAGGAGCAGCGAGAGGCCCTGGGGCCGAGGCAACCTTGGCAGGGACTGCCTGCTCCTGGTGGCTGTGTGCTTGGGGGCCTCTGCCAGTGCCAGGAGCACCCCCTCCCGCTGGTGCCCGGTGGCCTTTTCCTCTTCTCTTTTCCGTCATTTTCCCCCAGGGCAGCGATGCCGGGACATGCAGTCATCCTGTGTCGCTGCCTTGGCAGCAGGCGGCTCCGCACCAGCCAGAGACGAAGCCCACAGTGCATCACGTCCTTCTCATTCCAGGGTGGTCACCGTCTGCCTCAGAGGTCTTGATCCATGTCCCCAAGCAGAGGCTGGGTCTGGTCAAAAGGGGTTCCCGCATCAAAGGATCTCTGGGCCTACGATTCCTCCGGGTCCACCAGTCGGACACCTACACGGTCACTGAAAACAGGGACTTTGTGGTGGTTGGCATCCCCGCGGCTGGGCTGCTCCGCGGCCAGGTCAGTGTCCTGGTGGCGTTACTGTCCTGTCCTTCCCAGAGGCCACTTCTCCTCTGGGCAGTCAGACCTTGGGTGCAGCACAGAATGGGCCTGGCTACTTCTGCTCCCGAGGACAGCCCCTGGGAGACCCCAGCATGCCACCCTCACCCTGCCAGTCCACCAGGCCCAATTTGGTCCTTGTTGTCCCACAGTACTGCCAGGTGGCCCAAGGAACCCCAGGGATGCAAGCTTCCTACAGGGTGGACTTGAGCCTGCAGTTCACAGAGATGGAGACCCCGGTCCTGTGGACACTGGAGAGCACCTTTCCATGCGTGGGTAAGGGAGGCACTGTGAGCGAGTGTCTGTGGCAGACAGACACGCCCAGCATCGTCCCTCTCTCTCTCGCCCTGGGCCGCTTTCTCCCAGGACAATGTTTTGCTCCTTGGATCGGGGGTCCCACCTACCCAACCAGACAAGGGAGGCATGGGGTTGAACAGGAATGGGAGACCAAGAGCCACACAGGGTTCCTTGGTGCTGAGGTCCCTGCTTCTGGAGTCTCAGTGCCAGGAGTGGAAAGGGGCTGGGGACGGGCAGGGGAGGGGTGGCGGCACGGACCGGGGTGGCAGGGAACGCAGTGAGGCAGGGAATGAACACTGATGTCCCAGCCATCTGTAGCAGTGAGTAATCTGGCAGAGTCTCGGTTTTTCCATCTGGAAAATGGGAACACCAGTTCCTTTGGGTTGGCTGAGAAGAGGGAGAGCATTGGTAGTTCCAAAGAACCTGCCCGTGTCCAGGCAAGCCCAGGTCCTCAGCTTATTCCAGAGAGCACTCAGGCTTTGGGGGCTAAGAGCACTCCACGATGCAACTTCCCTTCTTTTAAAATTGATGTGTGAGGGAAGGAAGGGGAGCATCTGCCAGGATACTTGACAAATGCCTGCCCTGCGGTGCCAGGGCCGGGCAAGGCTGCAGCCAGAGGCCCGGAACTTGCCCCAGGTCTCCCGTGCACTTCGTGAGCTGCCCCACCCCTCCCCGCTCCCTCCTGGAGTGCGTCTCCTCAGGGAGCTGAGTCAGGGGTCAGCTGGGACCCAGGCTAGGGCACCTGACGCTGGATGCGGGCATCCCAGGGGGTTCTGCACTGCTGAGGCGAATGCCCGCCCTGCGACTCACTTCTTAGCCCCCCTTCCCCTGCGGAGCCTCTTCTAAACGTGGTGTGTGTCCGCCAAGCCAGCGTGTGGGGATTTCATCTTGAAAGGGGCTTTTGGTGCCGGCGCGGCTACCAGCTGACCTGGCGTTCACACGTGTGAAACCACCACGAGCGAACCCTGTTGCAACAGAGCATAAGGAAACACACATAATCCACAAATGCTGCCGATCACTTTCATCTCTGACTTCCTCACTGTCCTCAATCGAAGACAGACGCGTAGGAGATTCGACTCAGATGTTACGAGCGGCAGGAATGCCTGGTTACCAGGATATGATGTTTCGGTGCTGCATAAAAACGTAATTATATTCAGAACTATATTTAAAGATTCAAAGGGGGGACGTGCCTACCACGTCTAGCCCCCCGATTCAGAACTGGAAACAAAGGAAAAGACGGAGTGGAGGAGGATCCACTAAAAATGGCATCGATTCCCCAAAGTTTTGTACGCATCTCGGCTGGTTTTTAGCAGCCTCCTGCAGCAACAATGTGGATGTTGGAATGGGAGAGAGTTAAGACTTTATCCCGCAAACTCACTAAGCATTTGCTGGGCGGGCGGCCCCCACTCGAGGCTCAGGAGGCTGTCCAAATGGACCCTGGGTGTCCAGCAGCGTCCAGTTGCAGGGGGAGATAAGAGAGGCCAGAGGCTCCTCATGCAGACTGGGGGTTCCGGGAGGGAGACAGACAGCCGCCGGGCCCTGTCTGGGGCTTTGAAGAGAGGGTACATTCTTGATAGGATGGTAATTAATGAGTCAAATGCAAAAATAGCAACGGCAATAAAAAATTTTTAGGAAATTTTTTTTTCTCTCTTTTGGCCTCCCTGGAAAGATTTACACAGGAAAAGAACTCTGGTAGTCCCTGTCTTGTGAATTTCATATCAGCCGCCAGAGCGAGTTCTCTCCCTCCCCGGCTCCCACCGCACCTAGCCAGTCTCTCCTGCGGCCTCTTGCTTTTTCTATTCTTATCATGGCTGCGCGTGCACGCTCCTGCTGCTTGCTCGCCTGTGCGGAGCCCTGGGATCCAAGACTGGGTCTTGTCTGGATTTTTCTTCTTCACCAGCCTCGTCTGCGGCCTGGCTTTTCCTCCACCCATCGGATGCACTGGCTGGATTGCAATTTTGTTAGGAAGTTTTCAAAGAATGTTCCAAAGAAGTCCTGGAGCTCATGGACCACATCGTGGCTGTTGCGGGCAGGGGAGTGTTCAGAACAGTGGGCAGGTGGAGTGTGCACCTTGTGAAACCCAGAAGCGGTGAGAGACTCGCTTGCACATTTCTATAGGAAGGCGGAGTTACAGCGAGAGAGGAGAGCGAGAAAGAGATGTTGCATGCGATAGTTCACTGCCCAGATGGCTGAAATGGCCAACGCTGGGCTGAGCTGGACTTTCATCCCTGTCTCCGCCTACCACCGGGTCATCTTCCACAGCTTTCCCAGTTGCGTTCACAGGGAGCTGGATTGGAAGTGGAGCAGCTTGGGATTTGAGCTCACGCGGGATGCTGGCAGGGGCTGTGCCTGCTGCACCCCAACGGTGGCCTCTGTTTTCATATTGCTTGAGAGAGGCAGCCATCATCTGCTAGTTTATTCTGTGGATGCCCGTAACAGTTGGGCCTGGAGCTAGGAACTCAATCCGGGTTTTCCGTGTGGGTCCCAGGGACTCAATGCCTTGGTTCACCCGCAGGAGGAGCTCTGGTGGGCACTTGCGGTTGGGGATTGTAGCAGGGGGTCAAGCACGGGTACTTGGAGCGTGCGATGCCGGTGCCCTCACAGACCCACCAGCCGAGGTCATGGCACACGAGGCCTCTACAGGTAGGCAGAAGGAAGCCCATGGCTCAGGTGTGCGGGGCTGATGGGTGTGGGGGTGGGAGCTCCTGAAACCCACAGCCCCCACACCCTCTGCTCGCTGGAGCCCAATCCCATCTCATAGTGTTCTGATCACCCATGAGAAGAAGGTTCTAGAAACACTTCCACCTTTGAACTCTTATCAATTAATTTACACATGTTGAGGAAACTCTGTGGGCCAAATCAGACACGTGTCAAGACCAAGGTCTGTGAGCCACGATTGGTTTTTATGTGCCTCTCTCCAAACCAGGGGGCACTCAGTGGCGTCTGGCATTTTTGGTCGTCATGACCCAGGAAGCTGACAGAGTTGGGGGGCTCTGGGGTGCTGCTGGCCTTCCAACAATGCACAGGACACCTCCCCAAACCCCACAGCAGAGCGGGTCGGGCCAGCGTGGGGCCTGGTCTCAGGTGGCTTCCAGGGAGCCCTGCCCAGTGCCATGAACTCCCTGGGGTCAGGTCTCTCCAAGCTCCCCCTTCTTATACCAGCAGAAACGGGAGTGTGCCGGTCCTGACGGCAGGGTATCCCGGCAATTTTACTTTTTCAGGAGGAAAGCCGATCACTGCCTCTTTTCTGGAAGGTTCAGGCATGGAGCTGCCGGCCCAAACAACCATACCGGGCACTGCCCCGTCCAGCCCATCCCCAGGGCTGGAGAGTCCTCTGGCAGGAGCGTTACCTGCCGCCTCTAGCCAGCTCGCAGTTGCAGGACCTGCTGCCCCGGAAGGACTTCCTCAGGGACCGGAAGAGCTATTGCCTGATGTGTCGGTTAAGGCAAGTCCCGGCTGTCCTCCGCCTACGGGTTTCTCCGAAGGGTTTGGTGCTCACAGGCCATGGTGAGGCCAGTTGGGCATGAGATTCTTCCAAAGAAAGTTGGCACCCTTGCTCCCTCTACCTGTCTTGGCTGCCCACAGGAGGCAACTGAGAGGTCCCACCCAGGTCTGTTCCACCCAGGGGACCCATGGTGCAAAGGCCAGCCCTGGGGAGCCAGCTGAGGTCTGGCAGGTTCCACGGGCTCTTTTCTGATGTAGCTGCTTTCTCTCCACAGCAAGGGTTTGGGCAGTTCCTACCAGCAGCCAGACCCACAGGAGGAATTGGGGCCTCCGCCGCCTCTCTCACCCCCGAGGCCATCGAGGATGAGCGTGGTCCCCAGGCTCCCTGGGGGGAAGCGGGATTACCCCGGCCTCCCCCACCTCCCACCACACTGTCCCCTGAGCCCCTAGCAGGTTCCACTCTTCCACCCTCAGGTTCCCCAGACACCACTGCTGTGGCTCTGCCTTTGTCCTCCGACGTCGTCCGTCCTCTTACAGCTCCATCAGAACTGCCCAAAGCGTTCCTGGGCTGGGGACCGTCGGTGGCCCGTACTGAAGCTCTAGGGACAGAGGGGCCCTGGAAGGACCCTGCCCAGTTCGCAGGAATTCCCCCGCTGCAGGGAGGATGGTCAGGGCAGGCGGTGGCTGCATCTGAGGAGCTCAGCCGCGAGGATCTGCAGTCGCTGGTGAAAGCCCCGGTGGCCAGCCTGGCAGAGGAGGTGCTGGTTCCCCATCACTCTCCTGTGGAGACCCCAAAAGCTCTCTCTCTCCCCAGTGTGGACCTAGCCTCCCCAGAACCACGTCAGGACATACCAGGGCTGGGACACACCAGCCTGCGAGGGCTGGAAGTCACAGATGTGACCCCAAGGATGAGGTGGACAGACCTCAGAGCTAAGCCAGGGACCTCATTGCCCCAGCCCACAGGGAAGCCCAAGGTGAGCCCAGCAGCACACTCAGAGGAGCCTCTGGCCTCCTCCAGGAAGCCCACAGCCTTAACCATGGGCAGGTCATCAAATAGAACGCAGGGTGTGAAGTCAGTCCCCAGGTGGCTGCGGGGCCAGGACGTGTGGGAGGCCGCACAAACATCCAGCTCTTCATTTTTGCAAGCCCTGAGCCCCTGGGCGCCTGCAGAAGCACCGGTGCCCAGCATGGCTGGGCCCAGAGATAGGCTCTCTACCGGCCGCAGGACCTTGGCTCCTCAGCAAACAGGGCCACCCACATGGGCATCTAGCTCTACAAGTGCTCTTGAAACTGGGCGTCCCACGGAGGGCCCCTGTGGGGAGGCTGGGGGTGAGTCCCAGGAGTGCCCACCATTCACGCCTTCCCCCTGCAGCCGAGGGTGCCCTGCTGGCTCCGAGGGTTCCAGTGATGCCCCGTGACCCAGCGGTCCACGGTGCCCAGCCCCAGAGCCCGGCTATGGTTGGACAAAGCAGCTTGAGCCAACCAGAGGAACCGCATTTACTGCTTTCCTGCCAAGACAGCACTCCCATCCCCGGCCCCTCCCCCAGGCCGCCCCATCCCTGGAACTGGGATTTGGAATGCGGCCAAGACAGGAGGCCTCTCCTGCCCGGCTTGTGGAATAAATAAATAAATAAATAATCAGGGTTGTCTTGGCTGATAAACGGCCCCCACCTCGAGGATGACGGCCCCTCAGCCCCCGCCCCGGCTGCCCCCGCCTTGCTCCTTCCCCAGGCAGATCCATCCCAGGCAAAGGCCTAATAGCCCCATTTAAGGCTTTTCCTTCTCACCACGGAATTGAGCCGCTTCTGCCATTACGAGGTTTTCAGCTTCTCTCTGAAATCAAATTACCGACTCCATTTAATTTTTTAAAAGCTTGGATGATTTCCCTTCTTGAATGGGAGCCGTGACTTCAAGGCCGGCCCTCCCCTCGCCCCATGCTGCCAGGCTGTCCCTGTGGGCAGCGGTCCCCTCCCTGGGCAAGCCTGACACCTAGAGGGAAGGCAGGCCCATGCCTCCCATGCTCCCTGGGCAGGCAGCCTGGCACTGGGCTTGCATCAGCTCCTACAGCCCACGTCCCTGGGGGTTTCAGAAACTGGGGGAAGGTTGGGTGGAGTCCAGCGCTGCTCCCCGAGTTACTTCCCACGGCATGTGTGCAGGGAGGCCCCCAGCCCTGGATAGATGTCTGTGGAGTACCTTGTCCATGCCAGGTGCAGTGCCAACTCTGGGGAGGCTGGGGTGAATCCCACAAAAAGGTCCTCATGCAGAAGGGAGTGTGTGTGTGTGTGTGTGTGAAGGCTGACAGGGCGTGTGGACACATTCATATAGTGTCTGACAGCACCCAAGGGCGAGGAGGCTGGAGACAACCCTGCAAAATGCTGGGGACACTGTGGGGGCCTGAGGAGGCTGGAGGACAGAAGGAGGCTGTTGGACTGGGTAGCAGGACCAGGAGGATGTGGGTGGTGATGGAGCGGCAGGGCTCCATGGCCCACAGGGAGCCTGCCTGGGCCTTTGTTCCTGCTCCACAGGGGCAGTGACAGGAGTGGCCTTGGGTTGAGGCTTTCCAAGGCTGCCTGGTGGAGAGTGGGGCTGGGCGAGGCCTCAGGGCACTGGGCTGGTTCAGGGTCCTTTCTTGGAGTTTTGGAGCAGGTGACACAGTGGGGGGCGTGGCAATGCTGTGAGCTGATGTGGATAGGTGTCTCCTCTCTATTTCTTCTTTTTCTTTTTAAAGATTTGTTTAATTTTATTGGAAAGACAGATTGACAGAGAGAAGAAACAGAGAGAAAGATCTTCCATCCACTGATTCACTCCCCAAGTGACCTCAATGGCTGGACCTGAGCCAATCTGAAGCCAGGAACCAGGAGCTTATTCCTGGCCTCCCACGCGGGTGCAGGGTCCCAAGGCTCTGGGCCGTCCTCCACTGCTTTCCCAGGCCACAAGCAGGGAACTGGATGGGAAGCGGAGCAGCTGGGACATGAACTGGAGCTCGTATGGAATTCTGGTGTGTGCAAGGCGAGGATTTAACCATTGAGGCATTGCACCGCCCTTCCCACCCCCTTAAACCTGGGCCTCTGTGTGCACCCCAGGGATCTCTGCTTCCATGTCCTCTGGCCCCCAGCCACCTCTCTGCCTCTGTGCCATACTGCTCTGAGGGATCTTACCCCAGGGATGCCCTGAGAGCCAGGGGACACCTTCCTGGATCCTCCGGTTCCCCAGCCCTGCACTGGAGACAAGGTGAAGGCCTGGAGTTAAGCAAGTGGCCAGCTCCACCTGGCATGAAAAGGTCTCTGCCACTCAGGGGCTGGGCGCTTGCCCGCAGGAACAAGCTGCTTCCCTTTTCTCCCTTCCCTGGCCCCTCTCCAAGAACGAGCAGGTGTGCTGAGCAGGCACTGGGGCCTCGAGCTGGACAGCCTTGGCTCTGTGCTTCGTGCTCTGGGACCCCGGGGTGAGGCGTGTGCACCTGTGGGTGTCATGGTCAAAAGGCTGAGATATGAACGGTGACGTCCTGGCAGGGCCATGGCTGCCAGGCGGGGGTCTCTGGACTCTCTTGTGTCCTTGTGCAGCCAAGTTGATCCTTCCAGATCCTCAGTGAGAACAGAACCTGTCTTGGCTGCACCTTGCGACACCCAGGCCTGGGGGTTCCCCTTGCAGAAGCGCTAGGTCCCCAGGGTTTAGGTGCTCCCACTCTGACCTGGCAGAATGCCGATCACACCGTCTCTTGCATGATTTGATACTGGGCATTTGCATGTTACTTAAACTGGGGCTGGAGTCACAGCTTGGTAATTCCCCATGCTACTGCATAACCAGGAGTCAGAGAGTGAGGGAGGGAGTGAGCGTGGAGAGAAGACCTCTTGCTGGGTGCCAGGAGACCAGTTCCGCCCTGCCCCGCTACGGTCTTGGGATTTGAGCAAGTCCGCCCACTCTCTAAGCTCTAGGTTTCAGCTCTGGGAACAGGTGTCTGGAGTCTGCAGATCTAGGGTGGGCCCTGCCAGCTGCTGGAGATGGTGAGCTAAGGGTCCCCAGCGTGGCTCAGGGGCGCTGCCCTTCTGGCTCCTCTGCATCCTCCATTTCTAGCTTGGCCCTGCCCCTCTGAAGTTCAGGGTCAGGGCCAAAGGCTGCCGGACGCAGGTGGGAGGCCAGGATGGCAGTGTGTGGACAGAAGCCCATCTTGGCATAGCCGGACAGATGCCAAGCTTACATTGCTGCACGGGTTGCGGTTCACCCGCTCTTCGTTCCCCACCGACGCGTCTGGATCGCAAAGTCAGCAGCACCAATGTCCCCTGGGAACTTGCTAGAAATGCAGATTCTCAGGCCTCCCCGAGCCCTTACAGACCCAGAAGCCCAGGCAGTGGATCCTAAGAGATGGGAGGGATCACTCTGTCAGCTGAGAAGCGGTGCCTGGAAGGTGATGAGGAGCAATTGGCAGCCAGAGGACCCCTCACCCTAACACAGCCAAGGCAGCCGTGCCAGTCCACAGCAGCAGCCCCCAGCCTCGAACCCCAGCTGCCTCACGGCAAGGCCAGGACCTTCTCCTGGATCGCTTGGGTTCCTGGGGTTCCTAAGACACAAGGGTCACCCACACATCCACCAGCTGGAAGGGACGTGGCCCCTTTCAGCTTCTGTGGCCCGACTTCCAGTTGCAGTCTGGGAAGGCAGCATCCAGGAAACATAAATTTGCCTGGCAGTTGAGTAAGAGCTCTGAAAGGAGTCACACGTCAGGGAGATGGGACTTTATTTCTCAATGAAATAGGCTTTTTATGGCTGGAATAAAAGTGCCAGGGGGAGCCGGTGCCAGGAAGTAGCAAAGACCATTTGATAAACTCCTTCAGCCAGGGTGGGGCTGCCCGGGGGAGGGGAGGCTGGGCAGAGAGCAGGCCCCGCGTTCCCGCATGCATGTCTCTCTGCAGGCTGAAACCGCAGAACCTCCTGGAGGTGGGGGAAGGGGACTCTTGGGCACCTGGACCGCGTGAGCCAACACCAGGTCCTCCGAGCACAGCTGCAGTGCCGAGAGCAGGCAGCAGGGGGCAGCATACCCCACTGTTCCAGCCCCTCCAGTGGGCGCTGTCTGGGGGCCCTCAGGTGGGCAGTGGTGGGGGTGGTCTCGGAAGCTCAGCTCTCAGGGGAGATCAGCAGTCACCCCTCCCTGGGACGTCTTCTGTTTCCATCCAGCACTCCCATCCCCGGCCCTTTCACCATCTCCAGCAGCCTCTGCCCACATCCCAATGGGAGTCTTGGGGGTTAGGGCTCCGGCAGCCCCCTGCTCATTTTGGGGCTGGATTCTCAAAGCCTCTGCAGCCCTTACTTTGCCCCTGTTGAGTCCCTTGGCTTCCCTCCGAGGGGCTCCCGGGAGGGTCTTGGCGTGCGTAAGCGTGGGTGTGGGTCCACCACCTTCATGGTCATTGAGGTCAGGCAACGATTTTGAAGGACGGAAGAGAATGCGAGGAGACCTCTTCATCTCTGGGAAGGTGTGATTGGCAGGTTTACGGCCTCCAGAAGATGCACGGTATTCCGCACAATCAAGTCATTTTTAAAAATAATCTCCCTGCTTAAGTCGTACACGCTGCTAATTGCATTTTAATAAGTCTCTTAAAATCTTGCCATATTTTTTAATATCCTAATATTAGGTAAGTGATTGCGGGGGACACTGGAGGGCATGGGGAGTTTATCTAACAGAGGGAGGGCTGTCAGGAAGCTGGGGGGTGGCCACCGTGTGGCCTGCGGCGGGCATGGCCGCGTGGATGGGTGTCTGTTCCTGCAATGTGTGTACTTTCAGGCATGAGTGTGTGTGTCCACGTGGGAGTATATCTGTCGTGTGTGTCCGCGGACACGGCTTCCCCTGCAGGCAGCCCCAGGAGTCCCATGGTCAGCCATGGAACCGGCAATAGCTGGGCACCTCTGCCTCGCTGCTCTCCGCTGCCGTGGGGAGACAGTCTTCTTCCGTCTTTTGCTCCCCCTGACCCCCCAGTCCGGGCTACCCCAGCCCTAGGAGACTTTGGATCCAGATCAACCTTGATGCTTTTTTCTTCAAAGATGACGCTCTGAGGCCAAGGGTGGGGTCCAGACTACGAGAACCAGAGGAGGGGCCCGGGGGGACCCCAAAGCCCAGTCTTGGGAAGGCAAGGAAGGCCCGCCTGGGCCTCCCAGCACAGGCGTTGGTTCAGTCCCGGGGGCAGGGGACAGCATAGCTGCTGAGGGCAGTGACTTCTGCCTGAGTCCTCCATGCCTCCTGGGCATGGGTTAAGAGCTTTTCCCAAGATAAGCCCACAGGGTCAGTGTTCCAGGGTTCTGGGGTGGACTCACTGCCAAGAAATGGCAGAAATGGGACCGGCATTGTGGCGTAGCAGGTAAAAAGACTGCCTGGCATGCTCAATGGTCACCAGTTCCTGTTGCAGCTCTCTGATTCTAGGGAAGTGTAAGATGGTCCAAGTCCCTGGACCCCGGCTGTCCGTGGAAGGCCTGAAAGAAGTTCCTGGCTTTGAGCTGGCCCAGCACTGGCCATTGCAGCCATCTGGGGAGTGACCCAGCAGACAGAAGGTCTTCCTCTGTCTCTTTCTGTAATTCTACCTTTCAAATAATTAAATTGAGAGAGAGAGATAGGAATGGCAGGGCTGACATTTGAACTCACAGTGGGTTCCTATGCCTGGTTAGGGGTAGGGGGCCGTTAAGCAGGACTGGACATGAAGCATGCCCAGGGTCCACGGGCAGGCCTGGCACCCCAGGGCCCATGGCTGCGCAGGACTGTGCTGACAATCGAGGCCAGGGCGTGGGGTGGTAGGAGGCTGTGGTCTCTTGCAGAATCCCAAGGCTGAGGTCCACCTGGAAGCTTCTGGAAGCCAGAGGCCTGGGAGGCCCCACTGGCCCCGGCCTTCCTCCTCTCCCTCCTCCTCCTGCTGCTCCTGGCTGCTCGTCCCCCGGCCGGCCGGGTGGGAGGCACATGTTGAACGAACTTCTGAACAGGAAGTGAGCGTCCAGGTTGCCCCAGCCCCTTTTCATGTGGTTTCTTTAATCCCCGGGCTGGGTTTCAGCAGTGCTTTACAGTTTGAGTTTTACAAAGCTACGCTCCCTTTAATGTTGGCGTTTTTGGGGGAGGTGGGGGAGATCGGCTTCAGTCAAAACATGTGTGTTTCACATCAGCCAGCTGCTGGAGGAGAGGGGAGGCGGCAATGTGGCCTGCAGGCCCGGTGGGGCCCCGGGCTGGGGGCCGTGGCGTCCACTCCCCTCTCTGCCCCAGGATCCATGGCCTTCCCTGTCCTTGGCCGGGCTCATGCAACAAGGCAAATTCTTTCCAGGTCTCTCCCACCTGGCACTCCACCAGCTCCCGTGCCCCGCCCCGTGTACCTGGGTGTGTCATCCCATCACCTGCCTGTTCTTTTTCTTTCCTTCCTCCCTCTCTCCCTCCCTTCCTTCCTTCCTTCCTTCCTTTTTCTTTCTCTGTCTTTCTCTCTCCCTTCCTTCCTTTCTCTCTCTCTATGTGGGTGGCAGGGGCCCAAGGACGTGCAGCATCCTTTGTCAGCTTTCCAGGTGTGCTGGCACACAGCTGGGTTGGAACCAGAGCAGCCAGGATTTGAACTGAGGCTCGGATGTGCGTGCTCGTGTTGCAACCACCACCCTACCCCGCTTTCTCCGCCTACATTTTTATTTACCCCATTTTCCCCTGAAATCGATGCACTTTTTTTTTTTTTTGCACTGACATAGACACTACCTAAGCAAAAATAAGTAAATAAATAAATAAAAAATCATGTTTGATGTGCTAGTTCCATCTGCTGTTCCAATACACGTTCAAACAAACCTACCACTGTTCAAAGAAAAGGAATCCTGCTGGCCGGACGTGTTCCGGGAAAGCCAGGGCTGTATGTTCCCCTTTCCCTGCACAGGCGTAAGGTTGAGAGCTGGCGACAGTCCCGTTGCCTCCCCTTGTCCCCAGGGCCCAGCGCCTGGCCACCCCCTCAGCAGGTCTCTTCTCACAGTTTCGGGCTACGCAGGAGCTGAGCTCTGGGGCCCAGCAGCGGAGTGGGAAGGACGCAGACCTCGGAGTCAGCTCGAGCGTTCTCAATGTGTAACCATGGCTTCCGGCCTTTCTCCCCATTTACGAAACCCCACCAGCCTGGCACATCTGGAAAGGGCTCTGGGACCCTGATTCTCATCCACCTGGCTTCACCCTCACCCTTCCTGTCTTTCCCCATGGGAAGCAGCAAGAGGTCAGCAGATGGTCAAGGGTGAGGACTCCCAGACGTACCCCCCACCCTCCACCCGCCACTCCTGGCTGCCACTTGAAACTGCCTAAGGGGCTGGGCCAATCGGCTCCGTGCTGCCTGGGAGGTGCGGAGTGCCCTTCCTTTGTTGGTCACAGAGCTGGGCCACCGTCTGTGGCCTCCAGCTACTTGGGGGGGCTCCCAGTGGTGGGGCTTTGCCTCCTGGCCACCCCAGAGCGTGGGGCATCTAGTCTGAGCTGCTGTTCTCAAACCAAGCAAGGTTGTGGTCCCACCTCCTCCAGGCCAAGGCTGGCCCCGGAGGACCGAGGGCGCAGAGCAACAGAGAAGTGGATCGTGTGGGTGGGCACCACAACAGCTGCTGGGATGATGATGATGAAGATGATGATGGTGGTGGTGGCTACTGGTGATACACAGAGTTCTCCATGCCAGGCATGGTGCCAAACCCTCCACACTCTGACGCTTACGGGGAGGGCACGGAGGACACCCAGCAGCCCTTGCTTTACCTATGTGCCCTCCACAGCGCCAACCAGGAGGGTGCTCCCTGCCTCTGCCCGCTCTGGGTCTGTGGGGAGGGCAGAATCCCCAGGACTTACAGCGTCAGCCACCCAGGGGAGACACCCTGGGCCCGTGGCCTCTCCTGCTCTGCGGCGGACAGCGAGGGGCTGGGTGCTGCCCCGGCTACAGCTGCTCAGGGCCCGGGAGGAGAGAAGCAGAGACAGCCATGTGCACCCGCTTTCATCTCGCAGCTTCAAAGAGGTGCAAACAAACCCTGTCCCTGTGCCAGGCGAGGCGGCTCCCTGCTCACAGCCCCAGCCGCCTCTCCTCCTTCTTGTCCTCCTTCCTGGAAAGTTCGCAGCAGCTCTCGCTCCAGCCTGGGCCCAGGGCTCCCCTAAGGGCTTCAGACTCCCTGCCTGCGCCAGAGACACCAAGCAGGCAGATGGAAGCGGGCCCGGGAGACAGGGGGTGGGCCCGCAGTCAGCTGGGCAGCTGAGGACTGACAGACCTCTGCCCAGAGCCTTCCAACAGAGCTGAGTAGGGCTGGAGGCGGGCGCAGGTGGCCCTGGGCTGTGAGGGGTTTGGGACTGTGGCTCCCACGTGCTGCTCAGCCAATGGTCTACGAATTGAATGACCCCCTCGTTCTTGATGCCCCACTGCCTGCACCTGCTCCCAGGGTGTCATGGAGGGACGCTGTCTCTCATGGGGCCTCCATTCCTGAGCCTTGACCAGAGACAGGGAGGAGGGGCTGGGATCAGAAACACAGCCTGTGACCAGCTCGGGGAGGGCTGTTCAGAGGCCACTGCACCCAGCTACTGGCTTCCTGCTTACCAGTCTGTGGCCTCAGGCCAGTTATTTAACTTCCTTACGCCTCAGCACTCGCATCTAGCAATGATAATGTTATTTATTTTTATGTACTTGAAAGGCAGAGCAACAGTAAGACACAAAGAATTGTGAGGTCTTCCATCTGTTGACTTATTTCCCACTCCACTTGCAGATGTGTGCACCTGCTGGGGCTGGGCCAGGATGTTCATCCAGGACTCCCATGTGGCTGTGAGGAGAAGTGGGGTCGGAAGTGGAGAGGCAGAGGCTGCGGTATGGGTGGCTGACGTCTCTGCGGTGCCACGATGCCCGCCCTGCCCGCCATTTTGACTCCTTCCGGGAGTTGCAAAGAGTGGAGGAGTTGACCTGCTTAGCCCACGTGTGGATGTTGACAGCGACAGCTGGACCGGTGCTGTGGAGCACGCGTTGCTGGGCCTGGCTGAGGCCTGGGAGCAAGAGGCCCAGACCTGCCCTGCAGAGAGCGCCACCCAGCTGGCTCCCCAGCGGCTGCTGCGTGGAGCAGGTGCCTGGCGTCCCTCTGTGGGGTCCATCTCCCCTTCTGTCCTCCTGCCCATCATCCATAGCTCTCTGACACTCCACCCAGCTGTGCCCCTGCTGTTCCATGGCCACAGACAGTGACTCTGGCACCTTCTCCTGGCTCTCCAGGCACCCTGTCTCCTCCTGCTCCTGTCCCCTCAGACACAGCCCCCCAGAACTCCCCAGGAGGTGGTAGGACCCCCAGGGTCCCAGCAGGTGCCTGATGCTGGAGGGCCCTTCCAGGGGAGTGAAGGGGACCAAGCCGAGGGAATAGCCCTTGGAAGGCAGCGGAAAGAAGCCCTGGAAACTCTACGGAAGCCCAGGCCTAATGTCCACAGACAATCTGGGGAGCAGTAGGGTGAACCCCCCCATCCTGTGAAGATGGAGTCAGGGTAGGGGAGGGCAGATGGAGGGGGTTGGGGGCTGTTCCCACAGCTTGGGTTGGGGGGAGGGGGTCGGGCTGCTCAGAGTCGGTAGCAGGATGTGGGGCGATTGGAACCAAATGGGCTCAACGAGAACCAGATGTGAGTGGGGTGGGGAATCTCGCAAGGGGCCGAGGTTCCCTTTGCCCTGAAGGCTGTGACTGCGGGAAGAGAAGGGGAGAAGCCGAGCTTGCCCTTGCTCTTCCTTCTCCTCCTGCTCCACCTCCTAGGCCAGCCCAGCACGGGCAGGAGCTCCTGGCCACCCATCAGTGGGTGAGGGGCATTGGTGGTGGGAACAGCTTCAAGCCTACCCCTCCCAGTCTTTGCCTGCAGCCTGAGGGCCTTTGAAGGTTCAGGCCAGGTGTTGCTCTGATCTCCTGATTTCCCCAACACACACTTCACACTCCTGTGCTAGCTGCTTCTTCCAGGAAGCCTTCTTGGATCCTCAGGCTGGATCAGGCATTTTCCCTGGGTGTTCGGTGGATTAAAACTCCCTCTGGGATAGTGCAGTGAACGGGGCTGGGGGGGGGGGGCTTAACTGCCCCTTGAAAGGCCACAGCTCCTGCCCTCCCAGGCCTGCCCAGAACCAGCCCCTCCCCGGTGTGCACTTTCTGATTCTCTTCCAGGGTCACTTTGAAAACGTGTGTGTGTGTAAACACATCTTCACCACTGATTCTTCAAGATCAGGCAGGACCAGGGCTGTGGCTCAGTAGGTTAAGCCGCTACCAGCATCCCTTTGGCTGCCACTTTGAGTCCTGGCTGCTTTGAGATCCAGCTCTCTGCTGATGCACCCAGGACATCAGCAGAAGACAGCCCAAATCCTTGGCTCCTGTGTCCACAGTGACAGACGCCAGATGGAGTTCCAGGCTCCCGGCTTTCGCCTGGCCCAACTCTGATCATGGTGGCCATGTGGAGAGAGAACCAGCTGGGCAACAGTCTGCGTCTCTGCCCCTCTCTCTGTAACTCTGCATTTCAAATAAATAAATAAATCTTAAAAAAAAAATAGATCATGCAGGTGACTCAAGAGTAAATGCTCATTGCAAACGCAATGACGTGGGGAATAAAATGGGAGGACCCCTCTGCCTGCATGGGTGCCCTGTCTGCCTTCTCCGGGGGTTCTCTGCACCCACGTGGGAGGCGCTAGGAGCCTCCTGGAGCGGAATTGTCGGGTCAAGAGTCAGGTGCATCCCAAGCATTGCTAAAGAACCTGTATTGATTGTCTCCTGTCGCCACTCCTCAAGGGCCTGGGTTCAGGAACACATCACAGGGGCGAGTCCCCACACTGGACTGCGTGTCCACGGTGCTCCACAGTCCCCATGTCCCCAACTGTCAGTGTGCAGGTCAGGACTCGCCCGCAGACGATGGGTGCTCCTTCATGTGTGGTGACAGGCATTTGCAAATCCACATGGAAACAGGGTGAACTTGAATGGGAACCTTCCTATCACCTGCAGCAGGGGAGGCGTCGTGGTGTGGAACTTCCTTATATGTGTGTCACAACCTACAACACATCAGGGGGCTTCGCAAAGTTGCAGAAATGTGTTTTAGGGGAAAAAAAATAAGCTTGTGTGGATCTCATACCGTCTCTTTCAGGTGAGTTTTGAAAGTTTCTCATCTCTCTCTTAAGCGTTTGACACTGAGTGCCTGCACAGGACAGCGCACTCCTGCCCTCAGCATGCCCACTGGGTCCTCCTACCGAGGCACCCTCCTCTTCCTCTGCCTCTGTCCAAGTCTTTCTTGCCTCTCAAAACTCAGCTCAGGGCCCCCCGTCTCTGGAGAGCCCCACAAACCGTGTTCCCTGTAGCCTCTCTCCCTGGTGCCCGCAGTGGTGTAGGTCTCAGGCAGGTACCACTCAAGATGAAATTGCACAAAGTAACTGTTGAAAACAAAGGTTAAAAAAAATATATACCTGTCCCTTCCTCCCTGTTCTGTGCCGGCTTAACTCCTGCCTGCGAGGTGGCCTGTGTCTGTCGTGCTGTGTATCCAGCAGCTGGGCGCAGCTGCGTGGCTCTGCTCTGAGCTTAGCCACCCCACGTGGACAACTTGAGACCGGCCATGGTGGCAGTGTCACGCTGGAGCAGCCGGCCAACGCTACCAATCAGGGTTTGATTTATGGTGCTGCTGATTGTCTAGACAGAAGAAAGCAGTGGAGAAATGGCAGATAAGGCAGAGGAAACTTAAAAAGTAAGTAGCAGCTGGAGCTGTGACACTAAAGGGAATATTCTTCCAGGATTTAAAAACCATGATTCAGCAAAGAAGTCATTCATATCATTGAGAGCTAATGAGATTCTGACATATGTCTTTGCCGTTTAGTTTTTGTCTTTCTCTTGTCAAATGGCAAGTCCTCAAATATCAGCAATCTAACCTGTTGATAAGACAAAGCTGAACGGCTGATGTTACAGTACAGTGGATTAAGCTATTGTTTGCGCGCTGGTATCGCACTGGCTCAAATCCGGCTCTTCCACATCCGATCTAGCTCCCTGGCAATAAACCTTGAGAAACAGCAGAAGACGGATGTGAGGGCGATCTGGCTGCGACATCTGTCACCCCATTGATCGCCAGGGCTGATTCGGT